TCTAAGTTACTCTCCGCCGCCAAGGGATCAATCCTGATTTCTCAACCCAGCCTACCCCGCAGGGTTGTTGTTAGGCTAAAAGGGGTGCGGTGGGTCTGTTCTATATACCACCTCGAGCTTAAGGGATCCATCCAATACATAAGAAAAAGAAATTTTCTTGCATTCTTCCCACCAACTTAGCTGCTTCTTAAATTATTACGGCCAGAGGCACAATCTCACGCGCTCCTCCTCTTCGACTCACAGATGTAGTAATATTCACGGCCGGCCTGAAACTCGAAGCCCAGCGAGAACGGGGTGAACCTCTGGATTTTCTCCGAGAAGCGGACGGGTCCGTAGGGAGCGTACGGGCGGTTGCATTCCCAGCGCTTGAAAGCTCCCGGCGTTTCGTAGCACCCGCGGTAGCCTTCGGCGTCGACCATGAACAAGGCGAAGGCTTCCGGGTTTCCCGCGGCCAACGGCCGTTCGTAATGGGGACAGTAAATGTCCAAATAGTCATTGATGGACACCTGAATGGCGTAGCCTCCATCTGAGTCAAAGAACCTGGAGCGGAAAAGAGAAACAGCTCGTGATTCCAAGCGGGAGACCCGGACTCATCGAAAATCCAGATCCCGCGGCTCAAAATGCTCCGGAGATGCTGGGACGAAGAGATTTCTCTCTTCCACACGTCCTGGGGCAAAATTCGTCTCAGTTCATCTCACGCAGCGTCTTGCAGAGGCTTATCCAGCCTTATCTTCTAAGGAGAAGGACAGAGCAGTCACTCAAACAGGGAAGCAACAGGCAGACTCCTTTTGTACTTATCCGCCTTATCCACCTACTTATCTCACCTTAAACAAGTTCTCAAGCAGGGGAGCAACAGTTAGACTACTCCTTCTCAACTCACCCACTCTCACCTTTAGAGCAAACACCCAAGCAGGAAAGCAACAGGTAGACTCCTTTTCTACTTATCCACCTACTTATCTCACCTTTAAACGAGAGCAAGTTCTCAAACAGGGAAGCAACAGGTAGACTCCTTCTCAACTCATCCACTCCCACCTTTACACGGCAGAGCACACCCTCAAACAGGGAAGCAACAGGCAGACTCCTTTAGTTTTGCTAAAATAAAAAGCTCTTCCCTGGACGCTGATTAGAACGAGCTCAGGCCGCATCGGCAACTCATCCAGAGAAGCCATGGATCTCCTCTTTCTGTGGGCAGAAGCCAGGGTTCTTGCCGCAGCCTTTAATTATGAATTTATATCTTATGACATGCTACTGGGCCTCGCCCAGCATTGATCCTCTTGAGTGTTTTTACTAACAGGTCTTTCTGATCAAGCCAACTTTCCCCAGCTTTGCTGGCTGGCATAAAGTTGTCCGAATGTTCTTCCTACGTTGCTCTAGGGAGAGGCTTGAGCAATTAACAACCCTCAGCTCCCCTCTGCCTCCAACAAGCTTGAAGACCCTTCTGTCTCCCCACTGAGTTTTTTTCCACCAAATCCAGAGTCTGGGCCCTAGAGAAAGTGCCCCCCTTTCCTACCCACCCACCGCCCAGATCCAGCTGTCCCATCCAGATACCAGCTCCGATTCATTCAAGGGCCCGCAAGAAAAAGGGGGTCGAGAAAGAGGCCTCAGGGTTGTGAGCTGTGAGCCTGGCCTAGCAACAAAGCCCCCTCCCCACTTGATCCCGGCCTAGCTATTAGCCATTGGTGGGGAACGTGGTTGCCACTAGCCAGCTGTCCAAAAACCAGCATGGGAACTGGGTTTTTCCAAACAGGATCGATCGGGGCTTCCAAACAGGGGAAAATGTAGATTTGGCAGGGGTCAATATCAAGAAATGGTTTAGCATCCCACTACATCCCCCCCCAGGGCTTCATTGAGAAAAGCAGGGTGTTCAACCTCTCGCCTATGGCGAACAACAGCTCTTCCAGGCGAGCATCGCTGACCATTGCTGTCGGCCGGAGACCCGAGAATTGGTTTCCATCCAGCTTTCCAGGGGCAGCACTGGCGACGCAGCTGGTGAGAGAAGCTGTTTTGAAGGACCCATTTGCGGACATCCATTTTTGTGTGGGTTTTTAAACTTGGGGCTAAAGAAAATTGGAGGGGAATTGAAAAACTGCGGAGGGCAGGTAGCCTTCGCAGCATCTCATCACCACTACAGATCTCTAAATGATTTCATGTCTTCATCTGAGCGAGAAAAGGCAACACGAGAGGGCCCAAAAAAGAGGATTTCCACCCTCTGCTTAATCACGTTGAGTGGCAGAGTGCCTGTTGATCGCAGGCTGAAATTCCCCCCAAACCCAGCCTGCACAGCCAATGAAGACAAGATGGGAGCCGTAGTCCAAAAACAGGAAACCTCCTTGTCTCTGCACCCAAATTTCTCCTGCAGTGCAGCCGAAATGGTCCTCCTTTCCACGGAAGTTCAATCTCTTCCTGCCCTCAAGAATTGCAACACAGAAAAAAAACCCTTTTTAAAAAACTTAGCCCAAATTTCTAAAGGGCTAAGATGTGCAATCCGCTGTATATCTTTGGGACCTCACTCAGCCTTTCAGTTTCCAGGTGACACCAGAGAAACCCAGTGGGAAAAATTGGAAAAACGCAGGGAAAAAAAATAAAGCATAAAAACCGGAGAGAGGAAAAACTGCTTTTGCCCTATTTGCTGCTTATTCCTCCCCTGTGTTTTTTCCCAGGGCCTTCAGATTTTTAGGCTCAACCGATCTTGTTCCTTCAAATAGGACTCGGTTTTTATTCCCCAAAGCTTGCCGTCCCCCAGATGGATCGCAACTATCGCGCTATGAATGGGTCCTCCTTTGCTAAATCGGTCAGATTAACACAAAAGAAATGGAAACAATTATTTTCTCAGCCCTGCGTTTTGGTGTGGCCCGGGAACCGGCCCACTGGCTTTGAAGAACGATGCGCAAACATGTGCCCGTTGCACAAGAAACGAGATTAAGCGGAAGCGGGCCACAGGGTGGAGAAAGCCACAGCTGGAATTAGAAGAATTATTCTAATCATTATTAATTCTAATAATAATCACTCAAATAGCTAGAAATGCCAATAACCTATTTTGAGATGGGAAGGACGAAAACAAGATCAGGTACCTGAGCAAAGAATTCAAGACTCTTCTGGCTCGGCTTTAATATCACTGTAGGAAAGTTCTGGATTTGATCCAGTATTTAAATTTCCCCCCAATGAGCCAGTCCACACTTAATTCCTTGAAAATTAACTGGAACAAGAATGAGAAAAATCTACCTTTAGTTGGGCTCGCTCGTGAACCAAAGAGGCGTTTGGAGAGGACCAAATGAATGGAGTCAAATATTGACACACGGGGATTTTGAAGTTAACTTTATAAGCCGTAAAAGCTCTTTCAAGTAGTTGGAGGAAGAAAAAGCTGTTGGGGTGTGTGTGTGTGTGTGTGTGTGTGTGTGTGTGTGTGTGTGTGTGTGTCAGATAGAAATATATTAACAGGACACAAATTGGGGTCTTACCTAAAAGCAACCTATTTGCAGAATCCCTTCAAAGAGTTACTTTAGTGTTATTCATTCTGGTCTAGGGAAACCCAAAGGCCACCCATCTGAAGCTGACTTGCCAGCCACACTCTGCACGTGATCAAAAGAACTCCGTCGAATCCTAGCATTTCTGCTTCAAGTTTTGCGGCTTAGAAAGCAGGGCTGGGCTTTCGCTGAGATTAACACCTTTCCCCGGCGCCGGCAAGTTGAATCAACCTCTTTCTCTCTTTCTAAAAAGGCTTCTAACGTCTTGCCCAAATTAAAATAATAACAATAACAAAACTACGATGACTAAACGGCCAAACAGCCAGAGCGCAGATTAAGCCCGGACCGCAGAGCGAAGTCCAAAAGGCAGGCAAATAATGAGATCTCTTTAAACGGACGTGAGAAACCATCTCGCCTAATGGACGCTTCGCCTCCGAGGCACGGCTTCCAGCCTCGCCCCTTCTCGACTTAGGAACCGGGTTCGTCCATCACCCCCCAAAGACAAGACACGGGGCTGCGTTAGAGACGCGCCATCCAAAATCGGCTCCGTTTCCAAAGCTGCAACGTGTGCAGTCTTGTCAGGGTGCTTTGGGTTTCAAAAGCCACTGTAAATACGAACAGGGAGATGTTGGCGGCTGATTCTCCAGGGAACAAGGAGGATCACAGGAAGACGCAACCCGAAAGCCCCAAACTGCACGGCGGCTGCGTTGAGCCATGATTTGGAGCAGTGTTTCTCAACCTCAGCAACTTTAAGAAGGGCGGACTTCACCCCCCAGAATTCCCCAGCCAGCAAGGGGCGGACTTCAACCCCCAGAATTCCCCAGCCAGCAAGGGGCGGACTTCAACCCCCCGAATTCCCCAGCCAGCAAGGGGCGACTTCAACCTCCAGAATTCCCCAGCCAGCAAGGGGGGGACTTCAACCCCCAGAATTCTGGGAGTTGGTCCACACTTCTTAAAGTTGCCAAGGTTGAAAAACGCTGATTTAGACACTGACGTATCATGCCAGACTAGCTGTGACAAAGAGCAAGCTCCAGGTCTCGCACCTCTGGAGCCAGACTGCCCAAACGTCATCCGCACATCTGGAATCTGACGTGGACAACGTCAAACATTGATCCTAAACCACAGATGCGGCCCCAAAGCTTCCTTTCTGGCAAGCTGACATCTGCGAGAAGCTGCAAGGCTTCTCGGTGGCAGAGCTGCGTCTTCACTGCTGGAAAGCTGGTTTCCGATGCCCGCGTGGAGCAGAAAGGCCAGGGCCATCTGGTCGGGCGGCGAGCAGCTCCCCCATTACTCGAGGTCACACTCCACCGGGCAACTCGCTCTGCAAAAGTTTCGACTGACCGGGGCCCAGCCAGAGAAGGGAAAACATGACGGACAGCTTTAACTCCAGGCTGCAAAGGGACGCAGGAGTCCTTGCCGAGTTCGGGCGGGTTGAAATCCAAAGGCATGCTAACAAGCTTTGGGCACGGGGGCAAACGGAGAGGAAGAAATTAGAAAAGTGGGGGGGGCTTCTCTGCCAGCATTCACTTGCTTGCCAAAGCTGTGTGCAACCTTGAAAAAAAGCCCCTCGCTCTTCTGCCCGCGGGGACTCCAGAGAAGGTCGCTTCCCCCCCCTTTTTTGCAAACTGGAAAACAAGCTCCACGGGATATCTGCCACAGTCCCAAGGCCACGTTGTGCTTCCCAGCAGAGCAAATAAACAAACTGAAACGCAGGGAGAGGTTCCCGTACACCTTGGCTGCCCTTTGCTTCCCTTCGCCTCCCAATCGCGGGCAGAAAACCGTGTACAAATTTATGGCCTTTTCCTCCGGCGCCCACAAGGACTTCTGGGGGGCAAGACTGTTCCTTGCAACGCTGCTTGGAAGAAAAGACTGGATGAGCAGAACCTGGAGCTTGTAACTTTACCGTCCCAGATACAACCACAAACTTGGTTAACGCACCCAAGGATTTCACATTTGCATTTTATTGTTTCGAACCATGTTTTTCTTTCAATGTTTCCATTCTGTTGCCTGCTTTTCTTTTAACGTTTCCATTCGACTGTTTTGAGCCACGTTTCTCTTTTACTGTCTGCCTTTGTTTGGAACCATGTTTCGACTTCAATGTTTGCCTTCAGTTACAAGCTGCTTAGCGCCTTGCTTGGATCAAGGTGACAGATAAATGAGCGTAAATAGAAACACACGCACGTACCAGACGGCTTCAAAAGCAAACCCCAACTGTATCGAGAAAGCTGACATCGCAAGGAAAAGAGGGGATTGGAGGCCTTCTCCCTGAGATACTAGATTTCTAGGTGCGGGGAAGGGAGCTACGTTGTGCAATGAGGAGCAAACCGCTTTGGGAGTTTTCACCTGCCAACCCCTCCCTAGAGAAGCAGCTGGAGTTGTTGGAGAGCTCTTCCCAGTCCTGCTAGTGTGGCTTTAAGTAGGCCTCAAGTGCCAGCTAACTTGCTCCCACGCTGAGCACAGCAAAAACACCCTGGAATGTGTTTCCCAGTAACTCACCCACCTCTCTCCTTTCACACACGCCTCCCCCACACCTACCTGGGTGGGCCCCTCGCAGGAGACAAAAAAGGGGGTCACAAAAATCAAATTTCTATCCGGGCACCAGGTTCCCACCCGCCTAAAAACAACTAGACCTTTCCCCCGATGCCAGGCGCCCATTTCAGCCTCAGGTCACCCCAGGAATCTTTGATGTTTTAAAGTATGAGCCGCCTCTTTGTTTCTCAGGTTTGCTGGGATTAGAAAAAAATGCGGAGTGTTTTTCCCAAAACAAGGCCTCTGCAACTCTCTTTACAGATTATAAACAGCAGGAAGGCGTGGAGAAAAACCAAACTGAAACAGAGCACCAAATTCCACCTTTGCTCGTTTTCAAGCATGTTTGCGGGTCAAGTAAACCCAGGTTTGCTCCGACGCAAGAGCAAGGCCCGCAACCTTTAAATTACTCATGCCAAGGAAAAGCTGGTCCAACCCAGCCCCTGGAGCAAATTTCTCAGATGGCCCTGGTTTGTTTTAAGAAATGCAACTTCTTTCTTC